CTCTACTGCAACACAAATCGCACTGCGGTGATTCGATTGTCACGATACGGATATGTGATTCGATCCAAGGTTAACACATTTTGTCGAGATTCTGCCATCATGTTTTATTCTTATTTTTTTTATTTTTGTCTGGTTTTGTACAGCTGTGTTTTCTGCATTCAACGAAATACAAACATGATCGTGTATTGTTTGTCTGTGGTGTTTCTCTCCCCGATTTTTATCCGCTCATCTCAAAGGTAATCTTCGTGTTTGAGGCATTTGAATTGTTGAATGTTTTCCAGCCTCGTCTGGGCCTAACCAGGCATGTCTGGCATCTCTTTTTCCACAGTACAAGCGAGCCACGCGGCAGGGCCGTGTCGAGCCAGCTTCGTCGCAGCTCAGGAGACGCACGGATGTTGTTTTTCTTTCCACTACGAAACCGAGCCGGGCCGCTGAGCCACATGCAGATTGTCTTGCGAGGCCAGAGTTTGACAATTTTGGTTCCTACAGCTCGGCAGGGCCAATAGTCAGTGGAAAACCACGAGCACGTTACCGTGACAGCCCAACGTTGCCTCGGCTCGGATTGTGCCCCTTGAAACTTCCTGATGGGGTAAGGGAGTCTCCCCCTAGTGGTACTCTATGAGGCGGTGTACTTGGAAGCGGTCTAACAATGAAGCAGAGGTCGCAACCGGGTACCCGATACTCGTACCCTACCCGATACCCGGCTACCCGTACCGGGTACGGGTAGCCGTTTGCGACCCTGGTGCGGCCGGGTACGGGTACGGGTAAGGAATCAAAACCTTTATATAAACGGAGTGGTAGCTCTTGTAATCTCTCATTTACTTGATACAGCTGTCGTGGCTGTGACGGAAGCTTATGTTGCCTCCAAAACGTTGTGAAATTTATTTTATTTTACTTTTATTAATTTTGATGTTTTACCTACGTGACTTTACCGAAAAAAACCGAAGAATAAGAATATTAATCAAAACCCGTTTGCGACCTCTGCATTGAAGCGAGCGATTCATATTTACGACTCCAGTATAGTGAGCCAAGAATGTCTGTGTCGTGCGTGTGACGTCACTCCACGTCGACCAGCCCCCCTCATTAATAATCATGAGCAGGTGACGTCCTCCACATGGACACCCCCCCCCCCCAATTAATAATAATTAGCGGGTGACGTCACTCCACGTGGGGGGGCGAGGCGCCTCCTACCCCCTCCTCGGCGTCAACTCACAACCCTCACTACAAAGGCAGAACCCTCACGTCACGTGATCTCCGTAACGCTGTTGAGACATCGAAGTAAAAAGGACGTCATGATGAACAAGGGATTATCACCTTCTTGGTTCTTTCGGTAAAGTCACGTAGAAGGGAAGTAATAAAATAATAAAAATAAAACATAATACAATACAATAATTCTCGAAACGTCGTGAGAATTATTTGATTTTATTATGTTTTATTTTTATTATTTTATTACTTCCCTTCTACGTGACTTTACCGAAAGAACCAAGAAGATGACTCCCTGCAGTCACGAAAGCTTTAAATAGGGATTATCACCTTTAAATTAAATACGTCTGTGTCACCGCGCCATTACAAATTGCGTACGAATAGATGCAATGAATATCACGACGCGATCTGCTTTTCATTTGCAAGTTTCAGATTTACTGAAATACACCCGTCATTGGACGGGCAAAAGGCAAGTTATATTATAAAAGAGTATTGGTTTAGGGGCCGTCCATAAATGACATCAAGCGATTTTGGACGATTTTTAACCCCCCCCCCCCTCTCGTCACACGGCGTCATAAAAGTCAGACCGCCCCCCTCAAATATGACATCACAAAGCTTTGCCCCCCCTCCCCAAAAAAACGTGCTTCAAATCGCGTTAAACTATTGTCATTGTTGTGCGTATTTAATGTGACGCTGCACTCTGATGTAGGAGAAAACATTTCTTTTTAAGTATATTTAATTAAGCAGAACGTGTTGTCTATATTTACTTAAAGTTGCGCATTTTGATGTGACGTCACATTTCTCAAACCCCCCCCCCCCCTTCGTCACACATCGTCACAAATGTCTGACCCCCCCCCCCCCAGGTGCGTGACGTCATTTATGATTTATAGACGGCCCCTTCCCCGGATTCTTGTTCAGGGAAATTGAGTTTTCAGGTCCATGCGGTGTATGGCCGTTTCAATAGGGGCAACAACAAAAATGTGTCTATTTGTGTTTCTCTCTTGTGATGGGACGTTGTAGGGTGAACGTTGAGATTTATAAAGGCACGGGGGTGACCAAAAAGGTCAGAATTGGTCTGTAAATTACTTTTTGTCTCTTCAAAAGAGTGTTGATTATTTGTGCGACATTCTATTGCGATGCTGCGGAGCTAACGACTCAAGCAATTCGCTGCACCCGCTATAACATCGACTCACCTGTGTAGGCGATGGGTTAATACTGGTAGGAACCTCCTGGTTACACCAGCCCACAGGGGATTATTGTGTCCGTCCGTCTGTCGTGCATCCAAAAATGGGAGGGGTGGGGCTGGGTGGAGAGGGGAGGGTGGGGAGGGGCTGGGTGGGGAGGGGCTGGGTGGGGCTGGCTGGGGAGGGGAGGGTGGGGAAGGCCTGGGTGGGGAGGGTGGGGTGGGGAGGGTGGGGAGGGCCTGGGTGGGGCTGGGTGGGGAGGGGCTGGTCACCCCGTGGTGCCCTTATAAAACTCAACGTTTAACCTACTCACGCCGGCTTGTGCCCGCCCTCACAGTCGGCCATATTTGCGAAATACACCACGCCGCCATTGACCCTGGCCATTGACCGAGCAACCCAACGTTCCTACCAGCTCCCTCCGCAGGACAATGTGTTGAAGGCAAAGGGCAACCGACAAAGGTGGGAGGGGGTGTTGGATATGGGACGGTGACTCTCCAATCGACGAATTACAGAGGTTTAAAGCTTTCGTGACTGCAGGGATTCATCTTCTTGGTTCTTTCGGTAAAGTCACGTAGAAGGGAAGTAATAAAATAATAAAAATAAAACATAATAAAATAATTCTCACGACGTTTCGGCCACAACCAGGGGCGGTTTCTTCATTAGGGCGATTGGGCGACGCACCACCAATGTCATTGAACCACAGAGTCACGCTAGCCGTCACTGCAGCCTCTGGATATAGTCCAATCAGCGTCATGTCACGTTCTGTGGAGTACCGCCTCTTTTTGGGCGATTTCACTCCGGCTGAGAATCGCCCCGAGTGGCCCCATAGACTTACATTGAAAGATGTTTTTTTTCGACCGGGGGGCGCTCCAATGCATTCTCTATGGCTTCCGGGAGGGCAAGCCCTAACGTGCTTACGTCATCATACGTGCTAACGTCATCATACGTAAGCACGTTTCATCCAACAATATAATTTATCGCCACCTAGTGGAATCTTCTTCTTGGTTCTTTCGGTAAAGTCACGTAGAAGGGAAGTAATAAAATAATAAAAATAAAACATAATCAAATTATTCTCACGACGTTTCGGCCACAACGCAAGTTATTCTCACGACGTTTCGGCCACACGTTCCACTCACTGGCATGGTGCAGTGTGCAGAGTAATGTATGGTGTCGTAATTGTATAGTAAATATATAGCAGTGTGATACACATTAGGGTGGGTAGAATAATACATAGTGTTATATTAAAATGGATAAGGCAGCAACTGCAGCAGCAGCAGCAACTGCAGCAGCAGCAACAGTTCTGCAGCAGCAGCAGCAACAGTTCTGCAGCAGCAGCAGCAACTGCAGCAGCAGCAGCAACTGCAGCTCCCTTTGATGCTGTTAATCCTGCATAATGCACATGCATATGCAGTACTAATCACATTCCTGCATTTCCCATAAATATGCTAAATTCCTCTTGATATGCAAATTCCTTTGTCAAGGCGCCCAGCTTATATATATGCTCCAAGCTCGTGTGCTGTTTCATTCAGACTCTGTCGCCTCGACGGACCTGGTTTTCACCTGAGGACGGCTGCTTGCGTTGTGGCCGAAACGTCGTGAGAATAATTTTATTATGTTTTATTTTTATTATTTTATTACTTCCCTTCTATGTGACTTTACCGAAAGAACCAAGAAGATGAATCCCTGCAGTCACGAAAGTTTTAAATCAAAATCTAGTGGAATCTTTAATAAAATAAACTTGAGTGGTTTGTTTTAATAGTGAGTATAGAAACAAACAAGATGTATTGTAAGAGTCACTTTATTTTTCATTAATATTAAAGAAGTGAAGTTGCCTTTACATGCTTAAGCTGTTAATTTATCCATTGCATGGGTGGACCTTATCCTTATCAATCATCCAGACATTTGCCCCCCCTGAGAGATTTTGCAGGAGCCGCCACTGGCCACAACACAAGCAGCCGTCCTCAGAGACTCGATTAGCCGAGCCTTCTTATCACGGAGCTTGTTGAAGGATCTCAAAGTTATGTGGAATCCCTCCCCGTAGAGGCGGTTAAATTTCGATTTAAAGCTTTCGTGACTGCAGGGATTCGTCTTCTTGGTAAAGTGACTTTACCGAAAGAACCAAGAAGATGAATTACAGAGGGTTGACGTGGGGCTGGTGGGATGGGGTGGGTTGGGGGGGGCGGTGAGAGGGGGGGCGGTGAGAGGGGGGGCGGTAGGAGGGGGGGGCGCGGTGGGAGGGGGGGGCGCGGTGAGAGGGGGGGGTGGTGAGAGGGGGGGCGGTAGGAGGGGGGGCGCGGTGGGAGGGGGGGGCGCGGTGGGAGAGGGGGCGGTAGGAGGGGGGGCGCGGTGGGAGGGGGGGCGCGGTGGGAGGGGGGCGCGGTGGGAGGGGATGCGCGGTGGGAGGGGGGACGCAGTAGGAGGGGGGGGGCGCGGTGGGAGGGGGGGCGCGGTGGGAGGGGGGATGCGCGGTGGGAGGGGGGGCGCGGTGGGAGGGGGGGATGCGCGGTGGGAGGGGGGGGGCGCGGTGGGAGGGGGGGATGCGCGGTGGGAGGGGGGACGCAGTAGGAGGGGGGGGGGCGCGGTGGGAGGGGGGGGGACAATAGGAGGCGGGGCTGTAGGAGGGGGGCGCGGTGACGTCAGAGCATCTGTGACGTCACGCCACCTTCCGGTGCCCGAGCCGGAGGTCAGGGACAAGATGGCTGCGCTCAGGCTGCTCTGTCCGCGCTCTGCGCTGCAGATTTCGCGTGAGTCTCTCTCCTCTCCCCGTCGACAACGCCCCTCGCCGACCGCGCAACAGCGAGCATGGCTTCGCCGACGTATGGTTCCTCTCGGTCGCAATCTCAAATCGCCGTGTCCAACGGTTCGATGAGGTCGCCGCGGTTTGTTGTCTCGAGACGCGGGTGGCGCGCGTGTTTGAGTGGCTCCAGGTGAAGCGCTTTGGATTTCGTGGCGACGTGGACGGACAACGTGGGGGGGCTCGCAGAGGTGGAGAGAGACGGGGGGCAGGGGGACGCCGTGACTTTGAGGGTCGCTTGCGCCATATGGCGACGGTGGTGGTGGTTTACGCTGTGGTGTGTGGTGGTGTGTGTGTGTGGGTGCGTGTGTGTGGTGCGTGTGTGTGGTGCGTGTGTGTGGTGCGTGTGTGTGGTGCGTGTGTGTGGTGCGTGTGGTGCGTGTGTGTGGTGCGTGTGTGTGGTGCGTGTGTGTGGTGGGCGTGTGGGTTTGGCGGGTGTGTGGTGCGTGTGTGTGGTGCGTGTGTGTGGTGCGTGTGGTGGTGCGTGTGGTGGTGCGTGTGGTGTGGTGGTGCGTGTGGTGGTGCGTGTGGTGGTGCGTGTGGTGGTGCGTGTGGGTGGTGCGTGTGGTGGTGCGTGTGGTGGTGCGTGTGGTGGTGCGTGTGGTGGTGCGTGTGGTGGTGCGTGTGGTAGTGCTGGTGGCTTGGTGGTGCGTGTGGTGGTGCGTGTGGTGGTGCGTGTGGTGGTGCGTGTGGTGGTGCGTGTGGTGGTGCGGGTGGGTGGTGCGTGTGGTGGTGCGTGTGGTGGTGCGTGTGGTGGTGCGTGTGGTGGTGCGTGTGGTGGTGCGTGTGGTGGTGCGTGTGGTGGTGCGTGTGGTGGTGCGTGTGGTGGTGCGTGTGGTGGTGCGTGTGGTGGTGCGTGTGTGTGGTGCGTGTGTGTGGTGCGCGTGTGTGGTGCGCGTGTGTGGTGCGCGTGTGTGGTGGTGCGTGTGTGGTGGTGCGTGTGTGGTGGTGCGTGTGTGGTGGTGGCGTGTGTGGTGGTGCGTGTGTGGTGTGGTGGTGCGTGTGTGGTGGTGCGTGTGTGGGTGGTGCGTGTGTGGTGGTGCGTGTGTGGTGGTGCTGTGTGGTGGTGCGTGAGTGGTGGTGCGTGAGTGGTGTGCTGTGTGTGGTGGTGCGTGGTGTGGTGGTGCGTTGGTGGTGTGCGTGGTGGTGGTTTGGTGTGTGGTGCCTTAGGTGGCGCGTGTGTGTGGTGGTTTGGTGTGTGTGTGGTGGTTTGGTGTGTGTGTGGTGCGTGTGTGTGGTGCGTGTGTGTGGTGCGTGTGTGATGCGTGTGTGTGGTGCGTGTGTGTGGTGCGTGTGTGTGGTGCGTGTGTGTGGTGCGTGTGTGTGGTGCGTGTGTTGGCGCGTGTGTGGTGCGTGTGTGTGGTGCGTGTGTGTGGTGCGTGTGTGTGTGGGTGGTGCGCGTGGTGCGTTCGGGGTGGTGAGTGTGGTGGTGCGCGTGGTGGTGGTGGTGCGCGTGGTGGTGGTCGCGTGGTGGTGGTGGTGCGCGTGGTGGTGGTGTGGCGTGGTGGTGGTTGCGGCGTGGTGGTGGGGGTGCGCGTGGTGGTGGTGGTGCGCGTGGTGGTGGTGGTGCGCGTGGTGGTGGTGGTGCGCGTGGTGGTGGTGCGCGTGGTGGTGGTGCGCCGTGGTGGTGGTGGTGCGCGGTTGGTGGTGGTGGTGCGCGTGGTGTGGTGGTACGCGTGGTCGTGGTGGTGGTCGCGTGGTGGTGGTGGTGCGCGTGGTGGTGGTGGTGGTCGCGTGGTGGTGGTGGTGCGCGTGGTGGTGGTTGCGCGTGGTGGTGGTGGTGCGCGTGGTGGTGGTGGTGCTCGTGGTGGTGGTGGTGCGCGTGGTGTGTGCGCGTGGTGTGGTGCGCGTGGTGGTGGCGTGGTGTGGTGCGCGTGGTGGTGGTGCGCGTGTGTGGTGCGTGTGTGGTGCGCGGTGGTGTGCGCGTGTGGTGTGCGCGTGGGGTGGTGCGTGTGGTGGTGGTGCTGTGTGGTGGTGCGGTGGTGTGGTGGTGCGCGCGGTGGTGGTGCGAGCGGTGGTGTGCGTGCGGTGGTGGTGGTGCGTGTGGTGGTGGTGCGTGTGGTGGTGCGCGTGCGGTGGTGGTGCGTGCGGTGGTGGAGCGTGCGGTGGTGGTGCGTGCGGTGGTGGTGGTGCGTGTGGTGGTGGTGCGTGTGGTGGTGCGCGTGTGGTGGTGGTGCGCGTGGTGGTGGTGCTGCGCGTGGTGGTGGTGGTGCGCGTGGTGGTGGTGCGCGTGGTGGTGGTGCGCGTGTGGTGGTGCGTGTGGTGGTGCTTGTGGTGGTGCTTGTGGTGGTGCGCGTGGTGGTGGTGGTGCGTGTGGTGGTGGTGCGTGTGGTGGTGCGCGTGTGGTGGTGGTGGTGCGCGTGGTGGTGGTGCGCGTGGTGGTGGTGCGCGTGGTGGTGGTGCGTGTGGTGGTGGTGGTGGTGCTGTGTGGTGGTGGGTGCGTGTGGTGGTGGTGCGCGTGGTGGTGGTGCGCGTGGTGGTGGTGCGCGTGGTGGTGGTGGTGCGTGTGGTGGTGGTGCGTGTGGTGGTGCGCGTGTGGTGGTGCGCGTGTGGTGGGTGGTGCGTGTGGTGTGGTGCGCGTGGTGGTGGTGCGCGTGTGGTGGTGGTGCGTGTGGTGGTGGTGCGCGTGGTGGTGGTGGTGCGTGTGGTGGTGGTGGTGCGCGTGTGGTGGTGGTGCGTGTGGTGGTGGTGCGTGTGGTGGTGGTGGTGGTGCGTGTGGTGGTGGTGGTGCGTGTGGTGGTGGTGTACATTGTTAAAGTGTTTCCCTGGATGGTAATCGCTGCCTTCAAGTGTGGTGACAGTACGGCGTCGTGTTTAGGTGGTGATGACGGTGGGGAGTAACAACGCAAGTGGTTGGTGCACGTCCTCGGCTATGAAACCCCCCCCCCTCCCCCACACAAACTTGAGTTTAATTCCTGCTCAAGGTTAACAGATGTCGCCCATGTCTGGCTGGGAATGAGTCTTCTCGTCATGCACAGAGTTGAGCAGTGGCAGGCGATACTCAAACCCAGCGTGGTCAAGTATGGTTAGACAACCCCAGAACATTCGATTTAAAGCTTTCGCGACTGCAGGAATTCTTCTTCTTGGTTCTTTCGGTAAAGTCACGTAGAAGGGAAATAATAAAACATTTAAATAAAAAATGAAAGATTTTTGTTTTGCTTTTATTATTTTATGATTTCCCTTCTACGTGATTTTACCGAAAGAATCAATATAATGAACCCCAGAACCAACACGGCAGGGGGAGGCCTTCATCCAGAAATGATTTGAAAAATAACTTTGCTTAATTTGAATATTAGCTGTTGAATGGCCTATACTGAGTAATGCTTGTGTGCGTAAAATGCTACTTAAGTTTCCTTGTAACGCCTATTTATGGTAAAGAGACGTGATGAAGAAAATGGTCACCCATCATCCAGCAATGAAAGCTTCAAATCAAGATTAATCACCAATAATTCCAACTGTATCGCTGCACACCGCCCCTACTGTTAAATGTAAAAGAATATGAAGAACAATAATATACAACTCAAAGTATTGCTTCGCCTCGTTGAGAATATAAATAACATAGATAAGCACTCGACATTTCTTCCGCACATATCCGTGTTTAATCTACACAACCAATCTCCCCCACGACCTTCAACAGCATCGTTACAAGACATACAGTACAGTGTCTCATCATCGGTCAGGCTTGCTTGCATTAATGCCGAACTGTCCGACGTTATCGGCAATACCCCACTGTTTGGGATATGGTGCCACGCAAATTAATGCAGTGTAAATAAAATAGATACGCAATGTCTCCTTTTGATATTCGTTTCTTATTGCTGGGACTTTTAAGTCTTGCCTAAGGTATTGAGCTATTCCCCTTAATGCATCGTAAGAGAAGGGAGGGCTGCATGCCAGCTTGTCCCGAAGTCACCCCACTACCACCCTGTGTGCAGGCGAACACGTGCCTGGGGCGGTGCACGAACTTCCCGAACCCTCAAAACGTAAACCACATGGCCTGGTACACGTCATTCATCAGGTTTCGCAGCTGGCTGGCATTAGCAGAACATTACTTCTGTATTTGATTCATAAAGCGCTCACTGCATCCTCTTAACTATTTACCTTGTACTGCAACCAGGGGATTCAATTGTGTTAAAAAAGGTTTTATTGTGGTACTGAAGAAATTGTCACATCGCTGTGAAGCTGATCTTATCCCTAATTGCTTTACCATGTTTATCGGACTCATCACATCTATATGGGATTTACCATGGCCCCCGAAGGATCTCGCACAACCTGAGGGGGTTTCCTACATATGAACCTTATGACGGTACCATAGCACCCCGGCTCTCGCATAATGTCCGTGATGCAGTCATTTTTAGTCTGTTGATGGTAGGCGATGCGGCAATCGACTCATCTCGACGAGCTGTACGCGATGCACCACCACGGTGCGTACCGCGAGCGTTCAGGGTTTCGGCGCAATCGTCCTCGCTGTCCCAGGAATAAAATATTTAATTGCCTCGGCCATTTTTTATTATTTGGTACCCCAGGGGTACCGCCATAAGGATCATTAATGTAATAGTTTACCTTTACACTTTTGAGCTCATCACATCCATATTGGATTCGTTATATATGTTGAACTTCTTTCACACCGTGCGTAGCCAACCGTGCTAATGGGAGTGGCTCATCTCATCCAGAGGACTCTACTTGAGGGGTTCATTATATATTTGTAATGTGGTGTCGTTTGTGTGATGTCCACAATGTACAGGGATATGCGTGCTGCGACACATTGGAGGAAGTGACCGATTGAATGGGACTGGGACTGCTGCGCTGCACACTACTCCACGTGCACATGGAGCACTAGGTATCAGCACCAGCAGACGCACACGCTGTGCACATAGCATCATATATACTGCACACCAACCCACGCCACACTCCATACCAGAGGTCGCAACCGGGTACCCGATACCCGTACCCTACCCGATACCCGGCTGGGTACGGGTACCTGTTTGCGACCCTGGTGCGGCCGGGTACGGGTAGACCGTGAGTCACTGGTGAGTAACTGTTTGTCACTCATTTCCCAACGTCTTTTCTCACAATTCAAGTTCCTGGAATCAACCCAACCGCGCCTGCAACATGGCTTCATCCCAGAGGTCGCAATCAGGTACCCGATACCCGTACCCTACCCGTACCCGGCCGGGTACCCTACCCAGCCAGGTACGGGTACGGCCGGGTACGGGTATCCGTTTGCAACCCTGGTGCGGCCGGGTACAGGTACGGAATCAAAACCCGTTTGCGACCTCTGCTCCATACCAAACCACATCCATACATACCACATCACAGCTTCACACCATAGGCAACTGATCACTTAACATGCTTGCAATGTTGGTCGTATTCTGTATGTGAAATAATTCATTCACTTTCTCACTGGCAGCATTGATTCAACATCAGTATTATTGCTATTATTAAGATTGATGGTACCTTTGTCATCTTTATATATATTTCTATGGAACAATGTTTCACTGGCTGTTAGTTCAATTCCATGGTCATCCCCATTTGCTTGAAATCATGAATAGGAATAATTTAGTACCAACTTTTAAATCAATCGCAATTCTTAGCAAGTGAGATGCAAAATTCGACTAAATCCACCTATTTTTCCATATCATTGTGCATGTTTGCATCTTGATGACTCAATGATCAACTGAATTTTCCTTACTAATGATGCACGCAGATACTAACGTGAGTTTACCGCCTACCACGACCACTTTGCAGCAATACCTCTTTATCCACACAAAAATCGGATAACAGGAAATGTTCCACGGGTTATAGGATGGTTCATGGATTGGCCTGGGCTTGTATATATAAGGAGTCATGTCCCAGAAGGACAATGTCAAAAGAGGAAAAGTCAGAGCTTGAAATAGGGAAATATGAAACGTTAATTATCAAGCTCATTGTATGTTGAACCGTTGCACTGTATGTGGCCAACCATGCTGCCACCATCTGCAGAAAGATGTTGAAATGAAATTAAAACTATTAAACATGGATTGTAAAATGTTCCAAGTGTGGGTTATCTCACCCCTGACGGGAGGTGGGTGGGCATACAGGTCGTTAAAACCCATTGTTAGAAATGCCTACGAACACAGTATCGTATCATGACATGAGGATTGTGCCGCTGGTGATGTTAACGTTTTAGGGTCAGCGTCTGCTCACTGGTCAGCGGAGCGGGTGGTGAGCATTGCAGCCTTCACCCTCATCCCAGCTGCTGTGGCTTTCCCCGGTGGTGTCACGGACTACGCCATCGCTGCCACGCTCACCCTGCACTCGCACTGGTGGGCATGCAAACTCCCTGCGCTCACCCTTCACCCAATAGTGGGTGCACACTCATTGCACTCTCCACGCACATGTTGTACATTATGGCAATGTAGACACAGTGGTCCCCCCTGAACTCCAAGCACACTCTCTACAGCATGAGGAATGCAATCGTATTGTTTAAATACATTATTTGGTGATGCTGTGTAGGCAGTGGTACAAAAGCATAAATAAACAGCTCAACATATTTGTGAATAACACCGCCATGAAATAAAAATGTATCGTAGTTAATATTTTGGGTGGTGGCCAAAAGTATCTTTGATATGAAAAAGGGCCCTTTCCCAAAACAGTCTATGATACATTATCCTCTAAAGGCAGTTTAAAAAAAATATTGGTTAAAATCAAGTTTCTCATGATCAAACTTTAAAACTCTGAGTGAATAGCCCAGGCCACAGAGCCTATGTAAGTATTACTGTGAGCAAGTCATTTTTTTGTGATCTTTCGCTTCTTTGTGATCTTCGTGACAAATTAAACATTCACCGTTTACCTTAATTCTCACTCAGGATTACACAAAGCATACCTGTCAACCTATACGGTTTACCAATATTCTTGTACAGGGAAATTTAATTTAAAAAAGTCTATTTTTGTGTTTCTCCCTTGTGATGGGACTTTGTGGGATGAACGTTGATATTTATGAAGGTCTGAATTGGTCTGTAATAAGATAGGCACTGGATAAGGGATTGACAGGTATGTGAAAGCCTGTCAGGTATTGTAGCCTCATCGCTCTGTGTTGACCGCTACTCATGTTCCCAGGGGCCTCGGCCAGATCATCACGGACTACGTGCACGGGAAGGCGACACTGGGCGCGGCGCGTGTCGGCCTCGCCTCGATTTCTGCAGTCACGTTTGCTGGCCTCTGCTACTTCAACTACCACGATGTGGGAATCTGCAAGGCTGTGGCAATGCTCTGGAGCCTTTAATCACACGCATACACCAGCTCTTAAGAGTCTCTCCTTCTCTAAACAAGGGAATTATTTAATGACATTGGATGATGAAAACTTAATGTCTAGAAGAAATAATAGTAACTCTTGATTGTGTGGGATGGATAAAGGGAGGTGGGCAGCCCAGAAATTAAAACACAGATAATACTAAACATGTAGATTAGGGTATAAAAACAATGTTTACCTACGTCGAATGTATCTTCGGCTTTACTTCTTAATGTTGCTGCTGGTCATGTGGGTACAGAGTCACCAACCTCTTGATGAGTGCGGAGCAGCCAACAAACAAGTGCATGTGTAGGTATTCAATTTTCACAAGCAGGGTTAATCCAAAACCCAGATAATTAGCCCACGAATAATCAAGAGTTAACTAATTATAAAACTTGCCTTACGAATATTTTCTTGGATTGATGTCAAAAACATATGGTCTGTCCATCGTGTCAATTGTAGTCAACTTTTCAAAATTTTAAGGATTGCTGGAATGTACGGTTATCTTAAACGTTTGAACAATAAACCTATTATAGTATGAAGAGTGCGTACATTATACTCACAGTACAATTAACATATTGTCATCACCTGTACGATTAGGTTGACTTGGCAGTTAATGGACTACACAATTATACCTCAGCCTGGGTTATTGATTGGTGGAAACCAATTGCATGAAATGTGGCCATACCGTCCTCAATATTGGTGAAATCTTCCTCCAACGCTTCATTTGTTCCACAGCATGGCATGCATTTTGCATCATGCATTGTTCTAGGATTTGAGTACAATGCTGTAATATAAGAGCTGCTGTATTATAAGTGTAAGCCTCCTCTCCTGGCCAATGAAGGTAATGCATTCGGATAAAATAACGTATGCAAATCTTTGACATGTTGGCTCTGACTTGTTGATTTTAACACATTCCTGCGGAGGGAGCTGGTAGGAACGTTGGGTTGCTCGGTCAATGGCCAGGGTAAATGGCGGCGTGGTGTATTCCGCAAATATGGCCGACTGAGGGTGGGCACAAGCCGGCGTGAGTAGGTTAAACGTTGAGTTTTATAAGGGCATCACGGGGTGACCAGCCCCTCCCCACCCAGCCCCTTCTCACTCAGCCCCTTCCCACCCAGCCCCTCCCCACCTTCCCCACCCAGCCCCTGCCTGCACGACGGAAGGACACAATACCCTGTGGGCTGGTGTAACCAGGAGGTTCCTACCAGTAAAAGCAAGTTATAATTGCACAGTCTTAAGTGTGCCTCTGATATATGCTTCTCGTCGGATCTCGGAAGCTAAGCCTGGTGGAACATGGACAGTGCTTTGGAGGGTGAAAACCATATTAAAATAAGCAGCTGTGTTGTCATCAGAGGGCAGGATGGCAAATCCATCATACTCTGTTCTTAAATTTGCATCACTCCTTAAACCCAGATTGACCAGTCGGGGTGAAGGATGGTGAAACAATCCAGCAGTGTATTATAAGGCTATCTTATAAAGACAAGTTTAACACGTAGGATTTCGCGACCAACATCCAGTTTTTTTTGGGTTAGATCACGTAAATATGTCGTTAAAACCACCACCACCTGACAGCCAACTTGTAAGGGTTGTCACAAACAGAACGTGCCAATTCGTCACTCGTACAGCACACCGGTGTGTTGGAGAGCCAAGCCGCAACATTTACAATCTGAGTACGACATTTTGCCAGTAATTGCAACTAGCTTCATCAGGAGACAGCCAGATTTGTGGAGAAGTCTCACTGTTTTGTTCCTTATATAGAAGCGTAGATGTGGTGACCACGCTTCTGCGCGCTTGCGCCAAGTTGGGGGGGGGGGGGTACAGGATTAACTGCACGTGTGGTAAATGTTATGTTGGGCAAACAGGACGAATGATCAGCACGAGACTAAAATAACTTCAGAGAAATATTAAATTATCCCAAATACAACTGTCAGCAGTAGCAGAACACACGTGCCAACAAGGACACTCAATTGACTTTGATGTTGAAGTTCTGTGCAAAACTAGCTACTACTGGCCAAGACTAATTAAAGAATCTATCAAAATTGAAAGAAATAAAAATAATTTTAACCGTTCGGATAGCTACCACCTTAGTGCTGCGTGGAAGCGAATCATCAAATAATACATTCTTTAAATGCATGGCTATAAAGGTGAGCATACTTCAATAGGGATTACCGTTGGAAAGGCTATTTTAATAGACAATAGACAGGAAGGACGAGATCAAAGGGCTCGCATTGCGTGATCTAGTAAAAAAAACCTCTAATGGAAGACAGATAAGGTTAAAAGATAAACTATGTTGATTCGGTAAAGTCACGTAGTGTATAAAATAAATCACGACGTTTCAGGCACAACACAAGCGTCCGTCAGATGGGGCTTTCTCACCATCAGGTGCTTTCCCAACTGATGACGGATGCTTGTGTTGTGCCCGAAACGTCGTGATTAATTTTATACCTACGTGACTTTACCGAAAGAACCAAAGATAAACTATGGTCAGGTAAAAGCAGCACCTCATTTTTGAGAGAGAAACATGGATACGTGGGGGAAATCATTTGATATTCAAATGAATCAATCATAAAAGACGATGGATAACACGATCGTTGCCAAAAAAGTGTAACTTTAAATAAAGATCATCAGTAACGCAGTATAACAGCACAAGAGGTGTCACATGCTGCTGGTAAAGTGCTGATACACACAAAAAACCTAACCCCTCCCCACTTCCACATGCAAGCCCACAAAACCCCACACAACACGACATAACTATATCTCAATTGCACGGCACCAACATAAATACGACGAAATCAACCAAGGGAAATGAGGACGTGGTGTAAACAGTGCACGATGGTGCACATTCTTGTGTGGTCCCCCTGATATGAAGTGCATAGTATGTTCATGGAGCTTGTGTGTGCAATGCACTGCTGTTGTTCATCAGAAAATCCTTCTGCAGTCCAGCGAGCCACATCTTCATCTGAAACGACAGGGAGAATGCATGCTATGTAGAAACAATGGTGAAATAAAATATTTAAAAATACTTTTTAAAAAAAACATGCTTTAATGAGATGTACCGTGCTCGTAATGGGAGAACTCCACGACTCCAGGAACTGGTTCCCCGAAGCTTGCCATAACGTAAGGGGCCGTAGTGATTTACAGGCACCGTGAGTTGAGCGTGGACAATTAGACCCGTAAAAAAGATTGTTTAAAAATATATATTTTTTTAATGATAGAATATAGTATTGTCATCAGTACGACATACCTATACCAAGTTTGCAGTCGATACGACATTGGGAAGACGGTTGAAATTGAGTTACAAGATTTGAGGATACGACAAGAGTGAGTTAAATCAAAGCGTGTAAAAAGACAGCGCAGAGTCAACATAACTCCCAGTTCAAGTGATTGATCGAGCAGCATTCCTCTCCATTGTCAGCCCCGAGCCATTGGTGAAAACAAAAAAGATTCCCTGATGGAGGAGGTTGGTCCCAACTAGACAACCACTCGTGTGCCTTTCCACAAAGTGGTGCCTATCATTCTCATCATATATTCAGTGCTAAATGAAGGCCTCCCCAGGCTGTTGCTACCCCTCAGTCATGCTATGCTACGTCTACCACCTGCACACCAGCTTACTTCATTGCTCCATCTCCATGGTAATATGCTGTTGGATATGTTCCGTCCACTTGCTGCCACTCCATTGTAACCACTGTTAGTCTCACCCACCAGCCATGGTCTTTTTGAGCCCTAATTTGTCCTGGCCATGTCCATTTTTCTTAACTGTCAATGTCTCCGATATGTGTATGTTCTCTGATCCATGTGTTCCTCTTTCTGTAATTAGAAGCGTGCATCTCTCCATGCTTTGTGCACTTTTGAGCGATTTTCTTTGTCAATGTTAATGTAACGGATCTGTATGTCATAGCAGATAATATACATCGATTAAAATATTCATATAGGCACACTGATATGCTGCTTTCATTATCAACACTTGAGAGGAATTTATTATAGTGTAGACCACCTTCCAAGTTTTGAACTCATGACTTGATACCAAGGCAGTGCTTTAACCAAAATGGCCACCTGGCCTTCAGAGTGAAACGTCGTGAGATAGTGCATTCCATTTTCCTTTGCCAGCCAATGAGCAAAAACCAACCATCCCTGCCACACGATAAATATAAACACCGATACCCCTTTTCCACTTAAACATTTGACCTGTGCCAGGACAGGGTCAGCACAGCACGGGTAGATTGCCACTGATATTTTGCTATGCAAAGACAAAACTGAGCTGTGTTACGGTGGCCTCACAAGACTTCTGAATCTGGGGCCAAGTCATGTTAGGGGCAGGGCTAACAACAAAAGCCATCTGATTTCATCATATCTGAAAGACACACGGCATCACATCATCTACATCTTGCTGTTACGAATTGTGCATAACGTGAGGCTTACTGATCCGCGGCGCACTCGACTCAGCACAGCTCGGATGTGGAAGATGTATAAATATCTAACTGCTGTAACCCACGACGCTATGGCACCGAGAACCAGAAGAATTCTCGGGACTCATCTCCCTCACATGTGGTCCATCCAGGTTTTGCGTTGTCTCAGCCACTGCCATCATCGTCATGAACCATTATCTATTCCTGATTTGAAGCTTTCGTGACTGCAGGAATCCATATTCTTTGGTTCTTTCGGTAAAGTCACGTAGGTATGAAATAAAATAAATCACGACGTTTCGGGCGCAACACAAGCATCCATCATCAGGTGGGAAAGCATGGTCTGCTGCTGAGGCCCGAAACGTCGTGATTTATTTTATTTTATACCTACGTGACTTTACCGAAAGAACCAAAGAGTGATGATCTATTCCTTTCTGGATGAAGGCCTCCACAAGCTGTCACCAACCACCACGGTGCCATGATGTGGCAATACATCAAACTCCTGCACACGAGCTGACCTCATCCACTGTGATGAGGATAAGTCATTGACCAACATGTTTAGAGCCTCTTACATGGCAAGGAACCAATCAATGTATCCACAGCTTGTAGCACCATCACAAGGCCTTGACATTCGTGTCTATGCACAGAGGATAACTCCACCGCACTGGTGTGTGCCCGTGTATATGTAACCATACAGACAAACCTAGCCACCTTTTACGGCTGTGTTCATGTTACATCAGGGCACGTGTGTTTGGTCACCTTGTCCAGTACGGCAAGGCTGGTTCTCAGGATTTCATTCCATTTCTGAACCTCGGCACGGCGGACCTTTCCTCGGTGCAGCTCCAGCCAATCCCAGTCCACACTGCCAGCAGCACTGTACTCACAATCACAGCACATGGACACAATCACACAGCACATTGACACACACAGCACATGGACACAATCACAGCACATGGACACAATCGCACAACACATGGACACAATGAAACAATACATTGACAGCACACAGACAATCACAAAGGCATTTGGAGACAGCACATAGACAATCACAGAGCACATGGACACACAGCACATGGACAAAATCACACAAAACATGAACACACAGCACTTGGATACAAGAACATCAACCTGCACACACAGGAAGTTGCATTCAGATGCACAACATATACTTGTTTTTATATAGCACTGTACAGATATAGCATATTTATTTGGAGGGGCGGTCAGTTTTAGGCAGAGAAAGAAAATGAGAGTATTGAGACTGAATCTGAACAGGGGAAGGGAGTCAACAGCACAGATACCGGGGGAGGGGTGTTCCAAACAACAGGGGCAGCAGAAGAGAATGAGTGACTTTCCATTGGGCAAAGGTTGCCTGGGGTCTTCAATAGAAAGCCATGTATGCTGGAATTGAGATGAGAGGGGAGGTAGGGGAGTGTGTAGAGGGAATTAAGAGTGAGATGAGAGGGGTGGGGATAAGCAGGGGCAAGTCCACGGACGAGCTTGAAAGACGGTTAGTACGGTCTTGAAATTAATCCAGGACTGGACATTGGATCCAGTGGAGGGAATGGAGTATTATTGCGATGTGGTCTCGTGCCGTAAGCCCGCACAGGGAGTGTGTGCTGCACGTACCTCTCCTGTGTGCCCAGGGCATGCCAAGCAGACAGACGGTGTGCAGTGTGCTCCAGTGCTCGGAGCTTGTAGAATAGCACAGCATTAAGGCACACCAGCATCAGCAGCCTGCACACCGTACACACGCCATGCAAAACGCAGTCTGCTGCACCGTGACCATGACAAGCCACCAGGGAAGCAACACTATACAGGCTGCATCACAATGTATGCAGAACCAGTACACAACACAAAGACACCACACATGAAGCACATTAGATCCTCCTCAAGAGCTCACTAAATTATGGTGGATAGTTTTTTTGAACAGGTGGTATCCTAATTAAGAGTGAAAATATAAGAGAATTTACAGTCCTTTGTCATTTCACTACTGGATAAAGGTCTTCCGATACTGTGTCGGTCATGGGGGTTTTATTGTACTTCACCATGTAAGTCAGTGCAGAGATGTAAGAGAGAAACCAAAGACAGGTTCAGATATCACTCACCACTCTTGTTAGCTGTGGTCTGAACCTGAATTCAGGCCACCGGGTTCATAAAACAGTGCGATAACCACTGAACCACTGCTCTTCCATGCGGCATACACTGAAATAATGTCACTGGGGTCATGGTGCAAATTATTGCGTGTGAACTCGAGTGACAACACTGGTCTCGTAAGCTGTGATGGGTTCATGCTGATGATTACTTACACAACTGCTACGATGAAAAGCAGACGCGATATCCCAGTGTCGGCACCAACACCTATGGACAGACACATTGCGCATCGCACCGCACCACACCCCAACAAGATCCACAACGTGCCACACCCACACAATACCGTCTGTTAGCGACAATAGACAAAACAAAAAATGCGCCACGTCTTGGTGCAGATGTTTTGAACAATCCAATGTTGATATGTGGACAGTAGGTTACAGTACAGTGTAAGGATTCTTTATTGCATAAGGTCAGATTGACAACAACTCAGAGGTTGAAGTCCGAATCAGTAAATGAAATTGATTTAGTTGATGTGCAGTCGACGTTTTTCAATGTGTCTGTTGGTTTTCGGAGTTCACGGGTGGATCGCTATGTTGTCCATGGACAGCTCAGTGTCTACGACATGGCATTCTGGGATTTCTTTCAATCTCCGCTTGTCAACGTTGTGGAGGGTAATGTGGTGCCCGGTGCGTACGACCAGCGCATCGTTACCGGCGGTCTTGCCGCGGTCCCCATGGCTGGCGCGTGGTGCGGCGTGGTGTACGTTGTTGGAAGTGGCGCCACCATCCCCGGCTCCGCGGGCGTCCCGACGCCGGCTCTGTGCACGCTGTCTCAGCTCAGTTGGGTGCGGCTGCGCGTGCCTGCTGGCCTCCTCACGCAACAACTCCGAATCTACAAAGACAAAGATGCCCCGTATAACCTTAGCAGACTGTTGGGGAAAATGCTGCTAAGCGAGCACCTATGAAGGCCGGCACGGCACATGAGGGATTGGGTGGCCAGGACCATGCCCGGCCGCCTTTGTATAATTTTAGGCTGAGTCGACCTAGGTCAGGTCCAGGACCAGTTCAGATAATCTTTACTGGTGTTGGCCCTGAGCAGAAATCAAACCCGGGTCGCCGGGTTCATAGCGCAAGACGCTAACCGCTACACAGTGGGATAGCGGAAGTCTGTCCAGGCAATTTGTCCACCGCAGAACTAATGCCGTGCTGCTGATGTTACTATGCATGCAGATGACGCAGCAATGCAAACAATAGCATGCACACAAATTGATAAACACATGCACACTTATCCAGCACTCGAAGGCTCCATCTCGTTGGATGCCATTTAATTAACTGTGTCATTATCCCTGCCTAGACCTACCTGACCCCTACCTGACCCCAAGCTGACCCCAAGCTGACCCCAAGCTGGATTAAGATATTGAGCCCAGCATAGCACAGTTTGGCTCCAGCTTAGTTTAGTCAATATAAAGTGGAAAACGACCCATACCATGATATCCCAACACTGGCTGGGCACGAATGTGCCAGTGATCACACGTAAGGCAATTAAAACACGTGCATTCACGTCTATATGCACAAAGGCAAAGATCCACCCTGCATATTCTGCACAAGCTTTCGAGGCAATGTCCTCATGGGAAGCATATGTGGGAGATGGAGCCTCACTTGCAAACACCCTGCCCACACGGCACCGATCACACCACAACTCACACACACACATACACAGAGGTCCACGCCGCACCGCGCCACACCCAAAAGTACGCACCAAGAAGAGCGAAGTACTCAGCGAGGCCGGTGGACGAGCTCTTGTCAATGAGCGCCTTCACCGGACCCCAGGGTTGCTTACGGAAGCACACCTCCCATGAGATCCTGCACACACACATACACACACGTTCACAATGTAGCCCACGTAACTCATGCGAAAGAGGAAATGCTGTTTCACGTGTCTCAATGGGTTCATTTCATCTCTTGGTTAGCTGAAGGTTAAGTTTCAAGCAACACTCACAATTGTGTAAGAGGCACACCGCCTTAGTGCATTTTGGAAAAAAACACCAGCGCTGAAGTGCATCGTGATCGTCTTATCTTCGATCACCAGACGGAGTGCATTTTGTACACGTTTCTGTGTGTTGTTTTGAACTTGTGGTTTTTCCGGCCTGCACTATTATTCTGGTCATCTCGGCATTGACATATTTGTTTCAATAGAGCATACAATAACAACAACACATCACAACGACCTTGCTGCTGAGCAGCACACACCCACAGCAATAGCCACTGACATTGAGAGATGTAACCACAGCAAATGTGCTGCACTTTGAGGGCACGTGAAGTATAGAAGGCTCGTTGGCAGGTCACGGGGCAGGCCCAAGTGTTACGGGTGAAGTGTTAAGATCCCCACTGTACCACACATAGCACCCACAGCATGCACTCATAGCACGCACCACACCACACACCGTCTCCAATTAAAATATTGCAACTCCCTCACAGGGTTACAAATAGGACTCCATTCCCATAATCTACGCACAAAACCAGAGACATTTTCTAAAACGTAAAATGTACAGCCGTTTTGGCAAGCCACTGCTGGTTGAAGGCCTCCCATGTCAGTCATGGGAGTTGTCAGACCGTATTTCACCGAGCTGGTAGGTGCAGTTGAAAAAATGGGTGAGCAGGACCAGTTCAAATGCACATCTGACCCGCCCTGACTGGACACCTGTGCACAAGAGCTTCATAGCTCATCAGATTCTTCCAGTCTAAATCAAGAGTCTGATTCTGCCAAGTCATAGAAACCAGCCAATGTAAGGCTCCCCCAATTTACTCTGCCACCACTATCAGAACGGAGTGCCGAGCCCTTGTTAACCCAGGATAGCCTCACCAGTCTCGTCACTTTCTCCGAGGGTCCTGCCAAGTTCACACAGTGGGAGCGACGATTGCTTTGTATATTCCAATTGAGTAATTTGCGGTAGTAACATTTTTATTTTGGCAAAGTCTCACCACGACTAAGCCAGCACACAAGAGCCTGCTCTTGTGAAAGACGTCACAGGATCTTTAGCTTCCACTGTGAAGCAGCAGACGGAAGGCCCCTCTTCCAGCAGCAGATTGATCACTTATGATGATGATAAAGGGACAGTGTGAATAATGGTAGCCATGGTTACCGCAGACGGGTGGTGTGGCTGCTGAGTCTCTGCAGGAGGAAGTGGTTGCGGTTGAAGAAGTACTCGCTGTAAGGGACATCGTGAGTGGCCACCTCTGAGACCACCACTAACCAATCGGATGACTCCTTGTTCATAATCTGCCGCATGAAAAAACACATTTTAATAACGTTCTGGGACACAGGACTCCACTTTTTTGTCCCACATGGCCTCTCGGGCTGTTTGGGAGCCCTAGAGGTTGAACAGTTCCCAATAGAAATATGAAGGTAATGTCAAATAATAATATACAGCCCATTGTCAAAACACTGCTGCTTGGAGGTTTGGCGTTTGCTTGGATCGGTAACTAGCCAGTGGAAAGCACCTGTATAGTGAGGGCCCTATGCTGACATGGCTCGAACATGCCAGTGGAAAAGGGGAAAGGCTGAGCCCATCCAGGTCCAGGTGTGTCCAATGAGAGCCACACATTAAACCAGAGCAGCAGAACCAGACTCATAGAGCCCAGTGGAATACATCCCAGTCTGGCTTGACTCTACATTACGCTGCCCTTGTAAATGTACAGCCATGTTATCAATCTGCTCCTGAATGAGGGCATTCAAGCCATGTGGTTCATGGGGATTGTTTGAGTATACTGAACCATGTTGGTTCAGTGTAGATTAGTGAAGGGGGGAGTGGTGGGCTCACCAGGACAGGTTAATATATTTTGGCTAACCATTGAATAAAGACGGCCACTGCATCGCGCACTTTCAGATGCGCTTCTGCTGCTGTCTAAAACGCTTTTCCTTCCAATATTAGGAAGCCACTGGAGCTATGCACTTTTTAATCTAGACTGAAAACGTATTTAATTAGAGCTGCTTTTTGTGTTTAGTTTGTTGTCCTTCCTCCGCACCCCAGATCAGTATGGTCAGTTACGTACGGTGCGACAGAAGTTCAACATACATACTCATCACAGATGTTTGTCGTGGCCAGGATAGACCTGAGTCGAACTAATGCACCACCACTCCCATCCCAGAGGTCATATATTAAGGCTCATATCAATTTGTTTTGTAACAATTTTGTCTCGCATTGAAGTGGGGGAATGGGGCATTAGCAATGATATCTGTTGTCGCTATCGTGCCATTTTTCCATACCATGCCACCCGTGCTCTGCACACATGCCGTGCCATGCGCGTCGTGTACATTGCTTGCCAAGCTTTACCACGAGTGCTGTGCGCCATCGCGCAAGATCTCACCTGCACCTCGGTGGCACTCGAGGATTTGGGAGTGAAGGGTCCGCCATTGAGGTTGATGGTGTAGGTGAGAGAGCGCTGCTCAGTGCCAGGCTTGGTCTGCTCCCATGGTTTACACACCACGTCTAGAAGGGGTACCACAAAAGTTAAAGTTTATTTTGTTGAAGCATGTGAGAACACAGGAGACCAGGATAGTCACGGGGAACACCGTACACTCCGCCATGCACAACACAGTGTATATACCCGATTATAAAAAATATATATATAATTCAGTGCATGCTGTGTGTGCCATGTGTCCATGCTGTCTGTCTCGAGTGAATTGCTGTGTCGGATACCAGTGATTTTACGGGCCAGGAGGAAGCGCCGCATGAACAATGAGTCGGAGAACAGCAGCTTTTCGAGTTTCTCCATTCCTACGCACACCTCGCGGTCGATGCACACCTGGCCCGGTGGCACCGTATGGGGCTTTCTGTCCACACCATCACCTGCACATACCCATGCACATCCCATAGGCACTCCAAGATTCTCCAAATAGCGACCATACTACCCACACACACACACACACCAGATACCGTGCCAACCACATACACCATACACTATGCCATCGACACAATAGGCCTCATGCCAGGCACCACGTTCCCCAGGTAGCTGAATCACCTGCAGGGGTACCCTCAGAGGCATCGCTGTCGTCCGTGGAGGGATTTGTTCCAGGGCCCAGCTCAGGGGAGGGATAATCCCGCCTCTGTGGTTCAGGGGTCGTTTCTCTTGCCAACATTGACATGGCCAGGCCATCCACCTGCACACCATCACAAGCACCAGAACGTCAAGCCATGGCTGCACTCATTATTTTGGGAATCATCAGTGCAATAAAGCCATCACTGCCTACTGCTGCCCTGTGTCTCAGGGGCTTTGTGTAGACAGCCCCCCCCCCCCCCCACTGATCACTGTGGGGACAATTTGGCACTGCCTAAGGGTGATAATAAACCAATTACTGTAAAAGAAATTGTTTCGTATACATTATTTTTGTTGCTATTGTTATTTTGCACATTCCGTCCACCCTGCAATGTCCTGCAACTGACGCCACTGCCGACGGTCTTGGGGGTGGTTGTCCGTGTAAGACAGCTGCTTAGCTCAATGGGGCATTACCAGCTGATATAATAAAGTCTGAGTCTGTAACTCATCACTATTATCTGATGAGTTTCTCATTATTGACACACAATGCTAGGATCGCATTAAAGTTATAATTGGCTGAAAGTTTAAATACTTGTCTACATTTACACAATGCCATGAAATGTGTAATAGGACCTTCACCAGAATGTATCAACCCCTAGTCAGAAATGAAAAAGCACGGTGCAATGGCAAGAGCAAAATTGGAACATAAGCAAAACATTTAAACGAGTGTTTTTTTTATTAACCAAGTTAAAACGCAAAGATTCTGCAGAATGACCCAATGAGCCAGGTAATCAAAACAACGATCCCCTGTATAGCTCGCAGGCTTCTGGGGAAAGTGCAGTTAATGAGAATCGATGAAGGCTAGCATAGAGCACGAAAGGGTTGTGTGACCAGAACCACGTGCGATCACTTTAGTTTCCCCAGTGCTGACGTCCATACATCGCACTTGGTAATAATTTAAGCCCGATTCAATCTACAGGAGGCAAAAGGACCGATTCAGATATTGCTTGCCAATGATGGCCGCAGGTCAGAATCGAATTCGGGTTGCCGGATTCATAGCGGTACGGTGCACTCGTCACAATACCACCAGTCCGCCCGTTGGGTCAGTCACACACGCTCTCTCTACCTGCGAGAGATCTCCTCTGCTGCCGTGTGGAGAGGTGGACGCCAGGTGTGTTGGTGGCGCTCGTGGAGATCCCATGCTGATATCTGGCGTGGCAGCCCTGTCGGGCGTGCGCGTCCCATGTGGGGCGTGCGCAGAGGAGCTCGGCGTGCTCGGGGTGACCGCAGCGCGGGCAGAGCGCGAGCTGCCGGGCGTGTGAGGGGTGTGTGGTGTGTCGGCCGTATGGGGTGTGTGGGGAGTGTTGGGAGTGTGGGGTGTGCGTGGAGATGCTGTGATTTGCAAGGGCTGCCCGTTGTCGGGGCTGCGGGGTGAGCGTACGGTGACCGGCGCTAGTGCGGTGCGCGTGGTTTCGCCCGTGCGAGGAGTGCGTGGACTCAGTTCAGGGGCTGAATTTGAGGCTTCCTCGGCTTCATCGCCAACACTACACAAAAGAGACAAAGATCCCCCTTATAGCCTTCAACAGACTTTTGGGGCATGTGTTGGAAAGCGAGCACTTATTGTCGGATTTGTAGTAAAATATTAACGCTACACACACGAACATGAATTCCCCATGGTTACCATCAAAATCATCATCACAATTATCATAATCTCCCACACCACCAGTACGAGGTTGCGCCTTGAATTTAACTCCAGATGGCCAGCGCATTTAGAAGTAGGCTGTCATTTGAAGTGCACAGACATAATTTTGATGACCAGCCAACTCTATAAGTGTACTTATAATTGCTGTCATTAAAGCTGGGCTAGCCATGAGCTTGACATTTTAGTATGACCACAAGACAAATTGGAATTCAAACTGTACAGCCCTTTGTCAATCCACTCCTGGACGAGGGGCTCTCTCTACCGAGCACAGCAAAGATGTGAGAGCATAGAAGTATGGTACAACAATGGAATTTGCGGCAATGTCCTCTACTACCGACAAGGTAGCCCTGTAAGTTATAACACCTTCTTGGTTTTTTCCGTAAAGTCACGTAGAAGGGAAGTAATAAAATAATAAAAATAAAACATAATAAAATAATTCTCACGACGTTTCGGCTACAACGCAAGCAGCCATCTTCAGGTGAAGAATGAGACACTGCCAAGCTAGGAGCTTATATATAAGCTAGCTTGGGAGTGTCTCATTCTTCACCTGAAGACGGCTGCTTGCGTTGTAGCCGAAACGTCGTAAGAATTATTTTATAATGTTTTATTTATTATTTTATTACTTCCCTTCTACGTGACTTTACCGAAAAAACCAAGAAGATGAATCCCTGCAGTCACGAAAGCTTTAAATCGAAAATTATAACACCTGTTATGCATGTCAGTCACCCAATCCGAGAATTATCCAGGCTCAAGGCTGCGTAGCTTCCAGAACTGGTGACATTAGGAGCTTCTGGGTGATTTGGTCACAAGCAACAGGACTTGCCTGAAGCTGATTGAATGTGAATGTGTGTATGGCTGCGTGGGTATGTGTGTGGGTTTGTGTGTTTGGACGCACGCGTGTTCATCTCCTTCCGAGTGTAGCGTTGAGTCACTTCCGTACGCCTGTTGCACATACTGCAAGAACTCCCGACTATCCAGTGTCTGATCGCAAACATACACACAACACACACCAGTACACCTTAGCCTATCTTCACATTGCACTCATTTAAGTTTATTTTGAATTATTACATGGATATTTCCCAAGTGAGGTTAACAGTTTGATCCATCAAGTCGCCCTAGTTATTCCTGGCGGTGTATTAACAGTACAAATACATGTCGTGTGCTTCACAGTGGACGTTACATATCTCATGACGTCATTCACAATGAGGAGACCACTGTGTTCGAGTTTGTTTGATTTGCTACACAGATGATCCCGTTTAACCAGCTTCTAGGCTAGTTTATAAGGAAGGTCCGTGGTGCGTGAGCACAGCAGGAAAATAAACAAAAGCCAAAAACATTAATATTGCAGAGAAAGGCATCATCGTCCATATTTGCCAAATTACAAAACAATACACGCCATTTTCTCAATGTGAATTACACATTGCTTGCAACTGGGAGACTATATTAATCTGTGAAGTATTTTGCCTTCGTGATGTTTGTGAATTGTGAGAATTGTGCGAATACCAAATATACATTATAATTCAATGTATATAGCTTCTTATGACAATTACCATGTCAAGTACTTTAGAAGTTTAAATTTTATTTTGCTTCAACAGGTGAGAACTCAAGACACCAGGATAGCCTCATTTGCCAGAGTGACATGGGGTGTTAGTATGCCAGTAGGGGGCGATGACTGCTACGAGTAATTTGCGATGTCATTCTCGAATTTGGCAAATTTGCCAAATTTGGCCCCTGACACCAGCCCACAATGGCCCAGCCTTGAAATAGGCAATTTCGTCAGGGGAAGCAGCTGGCACATAGAATTATGGTTGTGACACCGCAGTAATAACCAGGGTGGCTAACACATTTAAACCGTGAACCTCTAAAAAAAGGGGCCAACGCACTGCCACTGAGCCATGTCACCAGCCCCAATCGCAATACAAGAGTAAGGTTCCACATGCAGTGAGGTTAAAGTACAAATTATGAATAATAATTATCTAAAATATCTATAAACTAGTCAAATTAAAATTTTGACTTTTAACTTTCGTGACTGTAGGAATTAATATTCTATGGTTCTTTCGGTAAAGTCACGTAGAAAAATATTAACAATAAAATAATACAAATAAAGTTCGTAAAAAATAATCAAAATATCACGACGTTTCGATCGCAACCACAAGCAAATATCATCAGGAAAATTGTTTTTGTTATAATTCTTTCTATCTACGTGACTTACAGGAAGAACCATAGCATAGTCAAATTTACACAAGAAATTAAGTAACTAAACAATACAGGTTTCCAAAGAAGCTTTTACAGTATGAACATTTGCACAGTACATTCCACACCACCAACAGCAGAGTTGTATGCACATTACATCAAGCCCAGGTTGCCACCTGCCTACATCCTGGTCAGTAGAGCAGTGCAGCAACTACCATTGTTGTATTGTACTTCTATGTTTCCACATATATGCTCCCCACGTTCACTAACTTACACTGACCAGTACGGTGAAGTATGGTCATATAACCCTCGCAATCTGTACAGGCATAATGGGGGCCCTTATCCAGGTCTGTGCAACTACACTCGTGTGTACACTCAGACACACCAAGTCATGCACAACGATTACGCAAACACTTGCACACTTCATTACAGACGGCCACACAACACAAACATACATCAAGCCTACCCACACAGCCTGCACATCTACAAATCATAACCACAAGGCAGGTTGACCTTGTGATGCCCAGCCACGTGGCATGCGCACCCCAACACGAGATTTCACTGCGCTGCACGATACCTCCACACAACACAATGTACTTCATACAGCAGTGGGTAAACAATGGCTGATGATGATACGAAACACACCAATGTGACATTTAGATTTGCCCAAACTTACACCAAGGCTGCCATCTATAGCTTCAAGGTCAACAGACTATGGATAATGCTGATGCTGCTGCTATATCTTGCCATTACTGCACAGCATGTTAATCGATCACTGCAGAATTAAGCTTTAAGTGGTTGAGACTAACGAAGGAATGGCAGCCAAAATAGAGATCACACCCACGAGGATGTCAACCGCGGATTGATGAAGTGACAGAATGATGAATTCAGCTCGTGTGCTGCAACTAGCTGGGATTGTTTCTATGCAAGACTGTGAGAGGCGGCAATGTCTTGGAGAGGCTGTCATGTGATAGTGGACAGATCACGGTTTATTATGATTATAATGCCGCTTTTTGTGTTTAGTTTGTTGCCCATTCCCCTCGCTCCTCTAATTGTCATGGTTGGCTATGTACGATGCTAAAGAAGTTCAACATACATACATACATACAATGCTCGCATTGAAATTACTTATCTAATGGTGTTGTAAACATTCTATACAGTGATGTGTGAATAAACAGGTCTTATAACAGGAAGTGTGGTGCATGTTGCAAGAGAAGCAGTGCTTTAGTCGTGAAGTGACTTACCTTGTCAAGCAGGGAGTTCTGCCAGAGCCGGAAGATCATGAGGAACGCTCTGTCCCTTGCACCCAACGACGAGAAGAAATACTGCACCCGCAGTCACACGAACATCGCACCACACCACATGTGCCGAACCGCACACAGCAACGAGATGCATTGCGCACATCGCTCTCACCAACCACACAGTACGAACGTGCACCTCGCTTGGTACAGACGCAGTGTTGACATCACCACCTGTTTACCGGCACACAACGCTTTTTGTCGGGAGTGTACGGCTATACAGAGTGCCATGTGCTTTCTTTTGGTGTGTAGTCAGGTCGTGTCCAGGCATGTACCAGCTTACCCAATGCTCAGTGAACCAGAGAATTCAAACATTTATGTTTATAATTTTTACTGTCGAGTTTATATTGTTTCCCAATGACCGTTTCATTAATATCATTGTTTTCCCATTCATTTAGCTTGCATGTGTAATGCGGGCGCGGGCGACCTCCCGGATGTGACGTCACGGAGAGGTGGAGTTAGGTGACGTGGGAGGAAAGGTTAAGGTTCTTAAGGGAGGAGACCGGAAGAGGAAGGGAGAACGAGTGGGACTGGACCAGAGTAAGGCCACGTGGGCAAAGCCAAGGGGTGGCAGCGGCGGCCAGCGGTGGCCAGCTAAGGGAGCAGCCAGCGGAGCTGCGAGAGAAGACAGCGGTGGGGCGGCTGGAGAGAAGGCGGACGAGGAGCTGCGGGGAACACAGCCGGCGAGGCTGTGTGTGAGGGAGAGGCTACGAGAGCGACGAGAGGAGAGAGAAGCTGAGAGAACGACGAGGGGAGAAACTGCAGGAGAGCAGTATCAGTGTCAGTATAGAGTCTTATAGAAGGACAGCCGTGCGGGTTAAGAGAGAAGAACCGAATAAAGGACACCAAGCCAGACATCGTGGGCCAGGTTTTATTACATTGGTGTCGGAAGTGCAACGGCATGTCGAAACAAGTGAGAAAGAAAAATGTTCCAGCGCCGGCATCGGCTTCTTCGTCCGAGGACGAAGACTTCCCTCCAAACATGGATCCTGCCAGGGTGGTGGAGGAGAGCCCTGCTGAAACGAGTGCGGGGACGGGAGTGGAAGATGTAGCCACAGTGTCAGGGCCGCCGACACCATCAGACGCTGATCGGCGATGGCTGCAGGTGGCTGAGCAACTGGAGACTCTCAAGGACGCCCTGGGCCAATTGTGTCATCTCGTCACCCCAAGCACGGCGACGGAGAGAGCGGAGAGTGCTCCACAGGCCGCCACGGGTTCTTCACTCCCGGCGCCATGGGCCACGCGGCAGGAGGCCGCCATCTTGCGCGTGCCGCGGCGGGAATCCGCCATCTTGACCACGCCGCGATTCGACGCCATTTTGAATTTGCCTCCGGAGGAACCATCGGCGGAGGGCGGAGTGAAGCGAAGTCGGAGTCGCCATCTCACCACGGTCAAGGAATTCGCCATTGGGGGCGACTGGAGCGCTTTCGCCTGCAGATTTTTAGCGGCGGTCCGTTCTGCGAGATGGACCGATGCTGAGGCCTTGGAAGTGTTGCCGACTCTTCTGGACGACGAATCTGTTCGTTTTTTTCGCTCCATTAAGGCCGAGAAGAAGAGGACATTATATGGAGTTTTTCAAGAAATGGCCGACGCCTACGAGCCACCTGACGACGCGCATCGGCGATTCGCTCAACGACAACGAGCGCCCGAGGAGTCGCCTGTGGCGTACAGGGGTGCAGTGCTTGATTTGGCTATGGCCGCGTATCCAGATACAACACCTGACCTGCTCGAGCCTCTCATCTTGGGCAAGATGCTCGAGCTGTCGCGGGATCTTGGGATTCCCATGCCGGTGTGCGGGCATGAGAAGCTCACCTCCCGGGCGGCGGCGAAATGTCTGGATGCACAATTCAACCTACGACGATGGAAACAGGTCACGGCGTGGACAGGGGGGCCCGTCGCAGAGGGTGGCGCTCTGGGTTGGGACCCTACGAAGTCGGTATACGTGCCGGATGAGCGGGGCCCTCAGGAGCTGACGGCCGCCTCGGTGCCATGGTCAGGCCGCGGTGGACCGGCCTCTCGTGCTGCACCGCCGATACGCGGGCGGCGCGATGCAAGGCCTGCGCTTCGGCGCAACGACGCCGATTGCTTCCGCTGCGGACGGAAGGGCCACTACGCGAAGGACTGCTGGGCCCGCATCCCGGGTCCGCCACAACAGGAGGCCTCATTACCGGCCAAGCCGCCCAAGGATCCACCGAAACAGGCAAGTCGGCACGCACCAGACACCCGGCAAGGCTTTACACCTCACCCATCACCTTCGTTGTGCGGTCATAGTGTTGTTGTTAAAGAGGGACCTTCGACGGGGCCTTGTCGCTCTGTGACGCAGTGGCGCAAATTGGCACGGAGGGTTGTTGCGGCCGCTACGGGTTCGTCCACCGTGCCGGGGTCTATACAAGGGGTGGACGTGCGCATTTTGGTCGATTCCGGGGCGTCCGCGACTATTATTTCGGATGTCATTTTTCATCTGTTAGGCATCCCACCCGGGGCCGTGCGTCCGGTTTACGGGTCGTGCGTCGCTGCGAACGGGGGTAGTATGGGCATCGTGGGCCAGGTGGACGCTAAAATATCTATTGGGGATGTGTCGGACTCGGGCGTTGTGTTGATTTCAAGATCCTTGGCAGTTCCCTGTTTATTGGGCACTGATTTTCTGGCTAAGATGCCTATTTTGATCAAAATTAATGAGAATTGTATTGAACTGCCGGGTGGCCGTCAAATTTCGTTTCTGCCGTCGCCCTGGGGGCGACCTGCTTCGGCCGTACAAGTGCAGGCGCTATCCGTGGCATCTGTTGATATTCCACCTGGTTCACAGATGCTTATTCCCCTGCGGTATCGGAAGCCCCTGCCTGGTCGGCTGGGAGCGGTTGGGATCTTGTTGTCACCTTCAGCCTCGATAACGGCCGGATCGGCGCTGGTCGGAGCGCAGACCATCGTCCGGCCAGATCAATTACCGTTTTTGCAGGTGCTCAATGCGGGTACGGAAAATGTCTGTGTCCCAGCCGGCACGGTTGTGGCACATGCCACCACGGCATTTACGGCTCACGATTGTTCGCATAGCCAGGGAGTGGTTGCTGGTGTTTCCGAGCCTGTGGCTTCGGATGACCGCTGGATTGCTAGCTTATGTGACGGAAATTCTTCCCTGTCTGTGGATCAACGGGGTGCGCTTCATAAATTGTTATTGACGTATTCCGATGTGTTCAGCTCCAATGATTTGGATTTGGGACGCACCTCATTGCTTCACCATCACATTGCTACAGGCGACGCTGCCCCTATTCGGTTGAATTCGCACCGAATGAGTCCGGCCGAGCGAGAACACGTTCGGGGGGCAGTGGAGGATATGTTGGCTGCGGATATTATATCGCCGTCGAACAGCCCATGGGGCGCGCCTGTGGTTTTGGTTAAGAAAAAGGATGGCAAATTGCGATTCTGTGTTGACTTTCGAAAATTGAATAAGATATCGGTGGCAGATGCGTATCCCCTGCCGCGTATGGACGACTCCCTCGACGCATTGTCGGGGGCTAAGTATTTCTCTACACTGGACCTCTCTTCGGGATTTTGGCAGCTTCCCCTTGACGAGCCCTCACGGGAGAAGACCGCATTCCGTACGCCGCAGGGGTTGTTTCAATTTAACTGCCTTCCGATGGGGCTGAATGCGGCCCCTGCCACATTTCAAAGGCTCATGGAACTCGTTTTGACGGGGTTGCAGTGGGAGACATGTCTCATATATTTGGACGATATCATCGTCTTCAGCCGCACATTTGATGAACATTTAAGGCGGCTGGAGACGGTGTTCGCGAGGATGCGCTCCGCGAACTTGAAATTTAAACCAAAGAAATGTCACCTACTGCAACGGTCCGTCCGTTATTTGGGGCACATCGTGAGTGCTGAGGGGGTGTCTACGGACCCGGAAAAAACGGCGTGCGTCCGAGATTGGCCGACTCCGGTCACCGTGGGGGATGTACGTCGCTTTCTGGGATTTGCCTCGTATTATCGAAGATTTGTACCGAATTTTGCGACCATCGCGAGGCCCTTGCACCTCCTTACGGGTAAGGGACGTAAGTTTGCGTGGGGACCGCCGGAAGAGGCGGCCTTTCAGAGTCTGCGTAATCTGTTGGCTACCGCCCCAACATTGGATTATCCGGATTTCAATCAACCGTTCATTCTTGATACGGATGCGAGCGACACAGGTATTGGCGCGGTGTTGTCTCAGTCTAAAGGGGGCGTAGAGCGCGTCGTTGCGTATGGTAGCCGGGTCCTGTCGCCCGCGGAAACACGCTACTGTGTCACTCGCAGGGAACTCTTAGCCGTTGTTTTTTTCCTACGTCAGTTTCGACCGTACCTGTACGGCCGTTCCTTTATCGTACGTACGGATCATGCGGCCTTGCAATATGCCCTTAAAATGGATCAACCTTCCGGCCAGCTGTCGCGTTGGTTGGACACGCTGCAAGAATTTTCATTTCAAATTCACCATCGTAAAGGGGTGCGCCATGCGAACGCAGACGCACTTTCTAGGTTGCCGCAGCGCTCCCCTTGCAAATGTGCGTCGGGGACGCAGAGATGTGCGCCCAGCCTACCCCCCCCTCAGCCGGTGGTATTGGCTGTGGAGAAGTCGGATGCTACTGTGGAACCGGGGCCGACTGATGGGGTTTTGAATCTGCCACGGTCTGTTTGGATAAGGGAGCAAATGATGGATGAGTCGTTAGTGTCCTTGCGGAAGCGATCCAAAGTGGAGGTTGGGGGTCCGGTTACGGAGGGTGCGCCGGAAACCGCAGTCCGAGATGGTCTGCTTATGTGGAGGGAAAGTCTCCAGGAACACTGGCGTCTAGTGGTGCCTGCGTCCCTCCGATACGAGTTGATTAGAACTCTCCATTGTGACACGCTATTACATCTGGGTGTGCAGAAGACCTTGTTGACGTTGCAACGTCATTATTTTTGGCACGGCATGTCGACGGATGTCGTGGGGCACGTCCGCGCGTGCCCTGACTGTGCCCGGCGTAAGCCTCCTAAACATCCTTATGTGCCACCCTTACAGTCAATTCGGGTGTCTCGGGTCAATGAATTGGTGGCACTGGACATTTTGGGACCTTTCCCACCTTCGGCGAGGGGTAATAAATATTTGCTGGTCGGGGTTGAGTACCTCTCCCGTTGGCCGATGGCCTGGCCGTTGCCCGATCAATCGGCCGCGGCCATTACCGACGCCTTTTTGTTCGGATATGTTATGGACAAGGGTGCGCCGGAGAGACTCCTTACGGATCAGGGCCGAAATTTTTCTTCGAAATTATTGGCGGAAGTATGCGCGGGCCTAGGGACTAAGAAGGTCCGGACATCCCCATACCATCCGCAAACGGATGGTATGGTTGAGCGGCTAAACCGGACATTGTCTGCCATGCTGTGCCACACGGTGAGTGAGCAACAATCGGATTGGGACCTGCACATCCCGGGGGTGCTTTCGGCGTACAGGATGACTCCTCATGCGGCTACGGGTTATTCGCCATTTTACCTTATGTATGGTCGGGAAAACGTGCCGCCAATGGATGTGCAGATGGGAACCGGTGTGAGGGGACCTTGTAAACCGCTTCCTGACTACATTCGGGACACTGTTCGCCGGGTCTCGGAGGCGCGGGAGAGTGCCCGTGTGGCTACGGCCAAAGCTCAGGCCCGAAATGAGAGGTACGCACGGCGTTCCAAAGGGGAGTGCCCCTGGAAGGTTGGGGACCTGGCCTGGCTCCATTGCCCGCAGGTGCGGCCGGGTACCTCTCCCAAATTTCACAAACCGTGGCGAGGGCCTGTCCGCCTCATTGAGGTTCCTAATCCTCAGTCGGCGCGTGTTCAAATTGGTTCTCGCCGCTGGTTTGTTCACACGTCGCGCTTGAAACCGTATGTTGCTCCCCTACATGATGCATCATCTCCCAATGTTGCCTTGCTGGGGTCTGTTGCTGCCGACTCTCCCCCGCCTGCGTCCATTGATCTTGCTAGAGCGCCTGTCGTACCTGTTCCAGGCAGGCCGGCCTTGACACCGGAGGGGACGAGGCGCTCTGCTCGGAGGGTGCCTGCCAGATCTGCGGGTCCTTCGAGCCCTGCAGCCCTTCCGACCCCGCTGCAGACGCATCCGCGGGACAAGCCCAAGACTGATCCTTCAAGGACACGGGACGTTGGTGGACTTCCAACAGCGACAGGGGGATTTCACCCTGTCGCTCCTCAAACTCAATCACGTTCCCGTTCCGCGGATGGGCCGCCGACCGTCCGGGACGGGCCGGCGACCCGCACACGCTCTAAATCCCTTGTGTTTCGTTGATTGTTATGTTGTATTGTTCTTACTGTGTATTTATTGCCTGCTTCTGCTACGTTATTGATTGTTGAGTTGTGTTGATTGTTCTTACTGTTATATTGCATGCTTGGTGTCCTTTGGTGTGTTACGCTCGGGTTCGCCCGCATTACTGTTGGTGTTGTTCAGCCGAGGTCGGCTGGGTTTTTCTCCACGGGGGAGGGTGGTGTAATGCGGGCGCGGGCGACCTCCCGGATGTGACGTCACGGAGAGGTGGAGTTAGGTGACGTGGGAGGAAAGGTTAAGGTTCTTAAGGGAGGAGACCGGAAGAGGAAGGGAGAACGAGTGGGACTGGACCAGAGTAAGGCCACGTGGGCAAAGCCAAGGGGTGGCAGCGGCGGCCAGCGGTGGCCAGCTAAGGGAGCAGCCAGCGGAGCTGCGAGAGAAGACAGCGGTGGGGCGGCTGGAGAGAAGGCGGACGAGGAGCTGCGGGGAACACAGCCGGCGAGGCTGTGTGTGAGGGAGAGGCTACGAGAGCGACGAGAGGAGAGAGAAGCTGAGAGAACGACGAGGGGAGAAACTGCAGGAGAGCAGTATCAGTGTCAGTATAGAGTCTTATAGAAGGACAGCCGTGCGGGTTAAGAGAGAAGAACCGAATAAAGGACACCAAGCCAGACATCGTGGTCGAGTCCTTTATTACACATGTAACATTAGGATAATATTTGCAAGTAACGTGATGCTATATGCATATACCTTAATACTGGCTGGCATCTCAGTTTGCCTGCGTGCTGCATTCCCATTGTGTAGGAATCTTCACCAAACTGCCCTGACTCGGGTGGTGAACCGTAATGAATCAACCCCACAGTCAACGCGCCTAAAATGTGCCACCCCCCACCCCCCACCCCCACCACAGGCCCTCAGCAGCTCTGGATCCACGAGTCCTGGTGTTGGCCAGGATGGTGAAGGGCCGCCCCCCCCCTCACCATTCACCCACCCGCAATGACCAGTATGGAGAAGTATGGTCAAACAACCCCCACGATTGGGGAAAACCCTTAATTCAGCAGTAGACTGTCAAAGGGTTGTAAATAGCTGTTGTTGTGATGATATTAGGTGTGATGGGCAGTAGTGTGGAGTGATACGTTACAGCAGAGTGCATCGCAAGCGCGACTGCTGTGACGTGATGTAGTGATGTGGGGTTGTGACGCAGTACTCACAAGGGGTTTAGTTTAATGCTGCAGGCTGGTGGGAATAATGCTCACCTTTTCATTCTGCGTGCACACCTGAATGGCATTGGGAATGACCCTCGCTGTCTTTTCCTTCGTCACCGCAGTAATCTCCTTCATCTGAATTGTCAACTGCAATACACAGCACACCACAACAAACCGGGTGGAACACATCACGTGCTTCACCCCGATACTGCACACAAAGACCCCCCCCCCCGTATAGCCTTAATAGACTTTTGGGCCAGGTGTTGTTAGCGAGCGCCTACGAAGGCCGACACGGCACACGAGGGGGTGGGTGGCCAGCACCAGGTACTCATTTGAGGCTGAGTTGGCCTACGGCAGGCCCCGGACCAGTTCAGATAATCGTCACTGGTGACACGGGTCGCCGGTCCATAGTGGAGTGTGCTATCCACTGCGCCACCATTCCCCACACCCACACATGGTAGTTTTTAGTTCTTGTTCCGATTTCTGTTTGCTTCATTGCTGTGATTTAGTTTGTCTCGTCAATTTGGTGACCCAGGCCTAATCGGAGGTGCGGTGGAAGGACAACAAACTAAACACAAAAAGCAATTATAAAGAAGTGAATTTTAAATTTAGAATTAAAAAATGCATAGCTCTAGTAGTTTTTTTTCATAGAACGTTCCAGTAAATAAAATCACCTGGTGATACCACATTGCCTTTGGTGCACAAACAAAATTAACAAACAAAAAAACTCAAACCGCTCAATAACAGTGGCCTGAAAATGGAAAATATATAAATTTGCTACTTTTCAGGCAATGGCTCTTCTTCAAAGTACAAGTTTAATTCGCCTAACCCAAAAAGCAATAATGACCTTAATATAGTGTTGTCTGTTTGGTGCTGGCTGCTTGGCATTTCAGCCTTTTGGGCCTATGCGCAGCAACAGTGAACAAAAAACACTTGGACAATCACGCGCACCAGCGTTTCCCAGTGGAAGATGTTGGAGTGGAAGCAGATCCATCCCTCGGAGAGGTAGAGACGTCCGTGAACAAGTATGTCTCTCTGCAGCGCGCACGAGTAGTCTGGGAAACGTGCGCAGCGAGCGACATACACACAATTAGTGTGGGGGGGCAGCACGCTCGCATGTACCCCCGGCACACAGCCCAGGTACCCATAGGGACGCAGTGCACAGTGTAAGAAACACACAAACCACACGCAAGCAATCTCATGTGCACATGCAGCATCGCAGTCCGTAAGCGGCAACACACACACAATACTCCCGAATTAATTAATATAACAGCGACAGAGTTCAAACAACACGATACAATGCACAGCGTACAAAGCATGTGTTTCCCAAAACGTGCACACAGTAAAAATGACAGAGCACACACAGCACACAACAGCGTATTCAGTACATACATTCACCACAGCAGTGCACACGATCTCCTGCACGCCATACAAGAGTACGTACATCACATACCGTGATAGGCACATCTCCACCGGCAGTGTTGACAACTCAAGTAGGTGTGTAGTACAGCTGCCGCCGCACACGTGCTTGTGTATTCACGTGAAGTGTCTGTGTTTAGGTGCAACGTCCATTCCTACAGGTGTGTGCAAGCTCATGCACATTTTGGTGTAAATGCAAAAAACAAAGATCCCCTGTATAGCCTGATCAGACTGTTGGGGAAAGTGCTGTTAGCGAGCACCTATGAAGGCAGGCATGGCACACGAACGGGTGGGTGGCCAACACCATACCCGGCCGCCTTTGTCTCCCCAGTGGTGATGTTTAGACACCACACCAGATACTCAATGAAGGCGGAGTCAACCGAGCGGAGACCCATAACCGGTTCAGATTATCGTCACTGGTGGTGGCCGTGAACTGTAATTGAACTCGGGTCACTGGGTTCCTAGTGCAGCGTGCAACCCGCTACACCACTGCTCTCCTTTGTGAATACCCACACACACCAACGTTGCTGCTCGTGGCCTGGCATTGGCAGTACGGTTGTGCGAGCGTGTGCACGTGCGTGTAACAGCAGAGCCTCGTACCCACGACGAGGTGTTCGCTCTCCGGCAGATGTTTAAAGATGCGTCGGAAGACATCATTTCTCTGCCGGTAGGGGGCACTCCCTCCCTACAAAGACAAAGATCCACCATGTAACCTCGTTCAAAAAAACTTTTGGAGAACGTTACTTCGGCAATCAACTACAAAGGCTGGAACGGCACACAAAGGGGGTTGGCGGTCAACACCACACCCGGCTGCCTAAGTCCCCCCAGTGCCGATGTTTACACACCACACCAGGTACTCTGTTAAGGCCAAGTCGAGCTAGGGGGGGCAGGGAATCAAATATTCACCATTCATGGGCAGGCTCCGAACACACACATGCCTATCAGTTAGCACCTAACAAGTCTGGCACAGTCCCATGTGGCCTGGCTTAGCCAAACCCCGATTAGATGGCTATAGCGCGAACAAAAGACTTGGCAACGCTATGACTCCAGGGACATAACTGTCTCGATAAATTAATAAAGCTAGCTAGGTATAGAGCTCGCGACAGAGATATAGAGATAACTATAGACTTGACAATAAACTTGGCATGAGCTCCCACACTCCCGTCAGCCACCCTTCCTGTCCCTACTGTCCAGCGACCCGTTGGCAAGCAATTTAAACAAACACTCTCTTAGCGAACGTCCAAAGAAGGCTTTAGTTGATACATGCATTCCGAAGCTAACGTCTATCCTTTATTTTCCGCCATGGCCATGAAGTTGCAACACAGCGAGGCATGGCACTGACCCCTTGCCACCACAACTAGTTGCGAGGGTGGCCCGGGTAAGAACGCAAGGCGCGGAATGAAATCCATGCTCAGCAGTCTCCTTGGTGTAGTCACCCAGGTCCGCTTGGTGCCGGGCTGGCCCGGTAAGTTGCCGCCGCAACGCCTGGCTGAACCTAGTTGTCTGGTTTGTGAACCGAGTCGGGCAAACAACAACCCAGTTTTCAAGAAAACATTCGTGAACAGCAATGTTGGTTCAGAGCCAGCCAAGCCCAGAAAGCATCTGGCGATACAACATTTTATGCTTTTTGTCAATCCTTCACGTAGTCCTATTATATTCGTTATTGTACACATATTGTTTAGCTAAAATTAATGAGAGAAAATATGTTGTACATGACCTTTAGTTTTGCCCGTATTTATCCTGAGATCTAGAACAGCTGCTGAAGGTGTACCGGAATCAAAGTGAATTTCGATTTAAAGCTTTCGTGACTGCAGGGATTCATCTTCTTGGTTCTTTCGGTAAAGTCACGTAGAATGGAAATAATAAAATAAAAAAAATAAAACATAATAAAATAATTCTCACGACGTTTCCGCCACAACGCAAGCAGCCGTCCTCAGGTGAAGACCAGGTTTGTCGGGGAGACAGCGTCTGACGCTGTCTCCCCGAAAGACTTCACCTGAGGACGGCTGCTTGCGTTGTGGTCGAAACGTCGTGAGAATTATTTTATTCTGTTTAATTTTTATTATTTTACTATTTCCATTCTACGTAACTTTACCGAAAGAACCAAGAAGAGGAATCAAAGTGATGAAATAAAGGGGTGGATGGTAGCAGGTTAGAGTGCTTTTGGCTGAACTGAACAATAACAAGTTACATACCAATGTGAAAAAAAGTTATTAATCAGTGCCCTACTACCTGCTGTAACATCTCATTCACAAACATGGTAATGAACAGCAAATATTGAACAAAAACTGAATTTAGCACAAACAAGCATGAAGAAGTGAATGCTTGTAATAGCAGTGAGAGAGAGAAAGATGAACACGTGGATTAGAGAATGTATGCAAGATAAATGGATTCAAATTGTAAAAAAAAACAAGTAGGCAGGACACATCGCTGGAATGGATGATAGCCGATGGTCACGAATAATAATAGGAGTAGTTTCCGAGGAATGGAACGGGTCCGAGAGACGTCCACCGTGGAGATGGAGCGATGAGACCAGCTCGTGTGCAGGTGCCAGGTGGATTATTACATAGCAGGATCATAAGATGGTGGCAGCTGAGGGGGATAGGGGGGAGGCCTTCATCCAGTGACCATGGTTAATCATTGTAATGAAGCATGGCATAGCATTTCCAGCGGTATAATGGACTCACACGTAAATAAATCAGTTACTTGCCAATTTCCAACGAGTGCACCAAACAGAAATGCTCAGGTACTGGCCCCTCAGTGAAATGGGAATGATGTTAGATATTTAAACAATTGAATGTTATACTTGAGCAGGTCCTTGTGAATTTGCCGCTTCTCCAGACTCACCCTCTCAACGGCGTCTGCCTCCGCACCCGCCGCCTTCTTTGCCTCCGACTCCATGACGTTGGAAGATCACACCTAAACACAAACACGCACCCACACGCCTTAAAACAAATACGAAAGGAACACTGCACAAAAACCACAACAAGCCACAGAAAGAAACGCCAACTGTAATATGATTTCTGTTTTTCCCTGCGGGCAGTATGCTGTGGGGCATTATGGAATAGTCTACTGCTCGATGAAAGCCGCCACATGATGGTTTAGAAAGGCCGAACTCCCCCTTCCAGCCCCAGTGGTGGTGCAGCCATAGCCGCAGTCCTCGTCACCGTTTTGTGGCAAACTCTAAACTGATTCAGATCAGCACTCCCTCATAACTAATTACTGCTCAATTGGAATAGACATAACAGTCATTTCCCCCACACTGTGAAACCTTGACAGGAACCCTCGTGGAAAAAGAGCATGACAACGTCATTCTGCACATAAAATATCTGGACAGTGTGGTAACTCTATTCGAGCAGCAGCAACAATAGGACAGACGTGGCCGACAGGTGGGGACGTGCCAGGGCATCGACAGGGCATGTATTATTCACTGCGCCCCTTCACACGTGCAGACACTCTGCTGCACTCACCCACTCGCACAGCCACTTGCTCAGTGAACTGACCCATTGACCAACTCGCTCACCTCTCCCCAACCCTGAGACTGACTGAGTCAATTGCATCCACTTCACCCGCTCGCTCACTCACACCTCATGGTTCATTCACTCACAAAGCATAATACAAAATAAAAAAAGTAGACTTTGCACTTTAGAATTGTCCACTATTCTTTTTTACAATATAACTCATGGCGTGGTGGGGTGGGCTGAGAAGGAAGATGGCACGGCAAGGTCCTGGCGAAGGGAACAGCGTGATGAGACAGTTGTACACAAACTATCTCGCGGAGGGGGAATTGTGAGTTCTTTCCTGATTGAATACATCACCAGAGTTGCACAGTCATTGAAATAGAACAAAGCGGTGGAGCAAAAGCCTGATAATTGAGTGAAGGACACATCTTATGTGTAGCTGGGAAATCGCTACACCAGATGTGTCTAACTTCTGCACTCAATACAGTACTCCCAACTCTCTAACCCACTCCAAATGAACTCGCTCAATACCAACAAACGCTACCACTCGGTATTTCCACTCACTTAAACCACACCGAATCAGCTTGTTTCATATCACTTGACACCATCATTTCCACACTCATTTCATAACACTTTCTTATCACATGTATTCATGAAGTTAATTCCTTTTCCACCATTGAGTCACAGGCTCCCACTCATACATTCATGTATAGTACTCACATATTTCAACTGATGCACACATCCACCTATTCATCATATATTTACACGCTCCACTTGCAGATTCACCCATTTACACATACAACCACTCACATATGCTCATGTGCCAAGCTGTCAACTCCCTCGCCTGGTATACAGGATGGTCGTGGGATCGATCCCGACTTTGACGCCTGCTGTATATTTGGAGTTTGCATGTTCTTCCCGTGGTGGCATGGATTTTTCTCCGGGTACTTTGATTTTTTTCCCTCCACATTTAGAAACGCGAGTTTAGAGTATTTGGCTGCTATAAATCCCACGTTCAAGTTTTCAAGTTTCATTTATTAGGTATAGCCCTGTGAGCCATTCGGCTCTTGAATCGGGTGCAACCGCAACAAACAAAAACATGAACAAAAAACATCTTAAAGTGAATGTGACTAAGTGCAAACAGCAAATCCAAGAAAAGACAGCAAAATATTGGAGAAAAAGCACCGTACACCAACACTGTGTGCAAAAATCCCAGTGGGATGCAAGACAAACAACAACAACCACAAGACAACTTAGATTAAGGCCATCAGTCTAACTCTATACTACAACAAACAAACATGGCCAAACCAAAAAACTTTTCGAAAATTACCAAAATAAAGCCATAAAAGCAATGAAACACTGGTCATAGGAACTGTGACCGAATTTTCACAATAAACGACGTAAACAACATGTACTACAAAACTCTGCAGCCATAGCTGGCTGCATGAGTCACTCCACAACAGTAGGAGCATCAGTCGGAGTATCAACATTTTTCAATGCACCTTTAAGATCAGCACACTGTGATAAGCCACTTCTCGTTGAGTTCTCATTTGTGACCATGCGCTTCCGAAAATGACCTTTAATCTCAGTGGGCCTTACCTGGTAAAATACAAAATATATAGCTTTTTAAATATAAAATGTTTAGTTTCACCCACTTAGTTAATCGTACATACATATACTCACCCATGCAACGATTAACCCACCGACTCACTCAAGTTATTCACGAACTTATATATGTACAGTATGTCAAACTTATTTAGCACTTTACGTAGCCAACTCTGCTCACATTCACTTACTCATGCACACCTCACCTATAAACTCAAGCCTCCATCCATATACTGACTCCTCCACCTACTCACCCACAGACCCAACTGCTCTTCAACTACCCAGGCACTACTTGATTATCCACTAATCCACGCACTCATTCTCTCAGTGTTCAGTTTCATTGATTAGGTATAGCCCTGTGAGCCATGCGGATCTTGACTCGGGTGCAACCGCAACAAACAAAAACATGAACAAGGAACATCTTAAAGTGACTACGCGAAACAGAAAAATCCAGGAAAAAACAGCAAAGTCTTCCACAAAAAGCACCGTATATCAACGCTGTGTGCAAAAATCCCAGTGGGATGCAAGTCAAACAATAAAAACCATAAGACAATTTAGATTAAAGTTATCAGTCGAACTCTGTACTACAACAAACAAAAATGACTAAACCAAAACGTTTTCGAAATCACCAAAGTAAAGCTATAAAACAATGTAACAGTGATCATAGTAACTGTAATTCAAATTTTACAATAAACGATATACATAATATGTACTACCAAACTTTGCAGCCATAGCTGGCAGGATGAATCACTCCATGACAGCAGGAGTATCAGTAGGAGTATCAAAAATGTTCAATGCACCTTTAAAGATCAGCACACTATAATCAACCCTCCAACTGATCACCCACTCACCCATCCACTCACTCAGCATCTACCCAAACACTGACCCCTCCACTCACTCACCCGTCCACTCACTCACCATCTACCCAACAAAGTATCATCCACTCACTCACTCACCCATCCACTCAACATCTACCCACCAACTTCTGACCAACTTCACACTCACCATATACCCAAACAGTGATCCCTCCACTCACCCGTCCATTCACTCACCATCTACCCAACAAGTGATAACCCACTCACCCGTCCACTCACTCACCATCTGCCCACCAACGTATCACCCCACTCACCCACTCACTCAACATCTACCCACAAACTTCTGACCAACTTCACACTCACTCACCCCTCCACTCACTCACCACCTACCCAACAACTGATCACCCACTCACCCGTCCACTCACTCACCATCTGCCCACCAACGTATCACCCCACTCACCCAACATCTACCCACAAACTTCTGACCAACTTCACACTCACTCACCCCTCCACTCACTCACCACCTACCCAACAACTGATCACCCACTCACCCGTCCACTCACTCACTCACTCACCCGTCCACTCACTAAGCATCTACCCAACAACGTATCACCCACTCACCCTCACTCACTCACCCACACTCACTGACCCCTCCACTCACTCACCATCTACCCACAAACTTCTGACCAACTTCACACTCACTCACCCCTCCACTCACTCACCATCTACCCAACAACTGATCACCCACTCACCCGTCCACTCACTCACTCACTCACCCGTCCACTCACTAAGCATCTACCCAACAAAGTATCACCCACTCACCCTCACTCACTCACCCACACTCACTGACCCCTCCACTCACTCACCATCTACCCACAAACTTCTGACCAACTTCACACTCACTCACCCCTCCACTCACTCACCATCTACCCAACAACTGATCACCCACTCACCCGTCCACTCACTCACTCACTCACCCGTCCACTCACTAAGCATCTACCCAACAAAGTATCACCCACTCATCCTCACTCACTCACCCACACTCACTGACCCCTCCACTCACTCACCATCTACCCACAAACTTCTGACCAACTTCACACTCACTCACCCCTCCACTCACTCACCATCTACCCAACAACTGATCACCCACTCACCCGTCCACTCACTTACTCACTCACCCGTCCACTCACTAAGCATCTACCCAACAACGTATCACCCACTCACCCTCACTCACTCACTCACCCACACTCACTGACCCCTCCACTCACTCACCATCTACCCACAAACTTCTGACCAACTTCACACCCACTCACCCCTCCACTCACTCACCATCTACCCAACAACTGATCACCCACTCACCCGTCCACTCACTCACTCACTCACCCGGCCGCTCACTAAGCATCTACCCAACAACTGATCACCCACTCACCCTCACTCACTCGCCCATCCACTCACTCACCCAATCACCCCACACTCTGTGACATCTCCAGGGAGACACACACACACCGGGACTGTCCGTATCACATCCATCAACCACCAACCTTACACAGACAGCCACAAGCTGAAGCTTCTACACGACTCCAGTTGCCTGCCCTGAGCCCGTGGCGAATTCCACGTTCACGTGACAGGTGCCAATCTACCCGCCATGTCACTGGTTACACCCAACACAGCGATGCTTGTTGGGATCTTTAATAAATATCTGAACGCACGAGGAACATTGGAGCTCCTTTGTCAATCCGCTGCTGGATGAAGCCCAACAACAAAGCCGTGCTGGTGTGCGGAGATTGTCTGACCATACTTCACCAATATTGGCCACGTGCGAAAGACGTATCAACAACGAGGGTGCAATCACAGTGGCAATAACACATTTTAATTCAACACTTAAAAGCGAACCCACTCACCTAGGGCCAAGCCGGATGGGGGTGTGGAAGGAGTTGTGGTTAGGGGGCGATCGAGAGAAAATAAATGATTGGGCTCGTGGAGGTTTGCTCGAGGAGGTGATGTGGAGGGGGAGGAGGAGGAAAGTGACAACAGACGA